GCTGATGTTCAGGTGTATATCAGTATGTAGTGTCTCTACTGGGACATGTCTCCATACTTTAATGTTCAAAAAGCTCTTTATTTTTCTCATACTTATTTTTAACATTTATAGGAAAAGCTTACTACAAATGTCATGTGATAAATAAAATCAGAATATGCCAAGATCAGGCTGATGCTCATTCTTTATTGATTAAAAAATAATCCAGGGAAACATGCTTTGAACTCCCAAACGATCAACAGAAGAGCAAATGAGAAAGAATGAAAAAAACTAAAAACAGGACAGGCGGAAATCAGAAATATTTTACAGCCTACATGAGTTATTGCCCTTCTTCTGTTCAGTTGCTACAGCTTGGTTAGACTACATGTGAGCGGACGCAAGAGAACAAAGCCAATGGATCTTCAACTCCATCAGAAGCAGGACTCGATCTCCACACACACACACACACACACACACACACACACACACACACACACACACACACACACACACACACACACACACACACACACACACACACACACACACACACACACACACACACAGAGAATGGCACCAAATACTGCAGTTTCGAAACTTTGAGTATCCTAGGGTTGCTAAACTTGAGGTGAAAACTTTACCTCAGGTATCTTCGCGTGTAACAGGAAGTACAGTTCAAAGATACTGACAATCTGAATCAAAACCTCAACATTATGTCCAAAAAATAATACACTTGATCGTATTTATATAATGCTATGTAAAAGGTAACATTTTCAGGGTCCAAGATTTCCTACAGTAGTGCCATCAACTGCCAGATGCACATCGATTATTAACCAATTTCAGTAATGCACAAAAACATCCAGAGTGAAGGTTGTGAGGACGTAACTATACGGATAACAGATAACAGATCCCAAACTCATAGCAATCAAAACTTTATGTTACTTGTGTAACCTCAGTTCTCAGAGTACGATGAACGAAACCTCATTTAAAATGATAAAGAAGGTTTGTTTTTAACATATTTGCTGGTTCTCAGTCAAATCATTTGGGGAATTCAAGATGACCAGAGCATCAACACAGCTGTGGCTCAACTGTAAAATATATTCTAACTTCCCAAAAAGGCAGAAAGTGATTTAGAAAGGAAAAAAGGAGCCTGTGAGCCTTCTTCCTAAACGCAGCGCTACAACCCACACTCGTGTCAGAGGACAGAAAGAAAGGCCCAGAGTGAAACACCCAGTATAAAAACAAACAAAGCCCAATGTCATTATGTACAGACTAGAGGTTACATCAAGTATGTTTCATCCACAAGAACTAAAATCCACCTTTTTAAACGAATTTGAGAAACCATTTCCAGACAGACACTCAAACGCTGGTGGTTCCAGCTGTCATAGAACTTTTTCACTTATTTCAATATATCATCTAATTTACAAAAAGACATCACACCTGTGGTAAAGGAGTGGAGGCAAATTTGGAAGAAGTCAATGTTATCTACTTTCCCCTATTCATATACGTTTTGCAATTTGGTATATTTGAAGTTATTCATTTAAAGAACTGGACAATCTAATCAAGAGAAGACTGATACTTCTTAATGCTTGTTGTATTAATGCTAGATAGCGACAAAATGGGCAAAATTCACTATATTTTGTACTTATTATTGACCAAATTGTGCTACATTTTTCCCTGGGTGAGATTTTCCTGTCAATTTGTCTAAATACTCAAGTAGAGCACCAAACGTGTGTACATCCGCAGCTGAAAATAGTCCCTAAATTGTGTTTGAGTAGCTTTTGATGACGATTACAATACCCAGATATGTCAGGAAATCAATTTAAATAAGAAATTATGAACATTCGAGACCACTACAGACCACAAAACTAAACCTTATCCTTTAAATATAACTTTTGGAAGTGCTGAAAATGATATTTAACATCACATTTGTTGAGTTGTCCTTGTATTTAGTTGGCTTAATCAAAATGGCGTAAAAAGTTAGACAGCTGAAACCACATTTTGCGACAACATATTGCTCCACATGATAACTGGGGACCCCCCCCCTGAAAACGTGCATTCAGTAGTTCTGATGAATATAAGGCATTGTTACACTTATCAGGGCGTTATTCAGATTGTGCAAATGCATCACATATTAGAGAAATATAAACGGATGAGGTGTAGATACTTGCATCCTTCTACATGTAAACTTTTGTCAGTGATACGTCAGCTGACCACGTTATCGAGGCAGCGTTGAATGTTTCCTACGGGCGACCAAACGCTTCTGTTTTCTTTGGCAGTAGTGGTTTCTTTATACAGCCATAGAAGGAAAAAAAAAATGCATTTATAACTTTTATTTTTTATTTTCACATTTTTTAGGCAAGTCACGGTCCAAGGTAGTTCGACAGTTTAGCTGATGCTGAGCTGAGCGAAGCCCATCAGTTTGACATCGTCCGGGAGTTCAGACCCCTCGGTTCCAGACGCCTGTGGAGAGAAAACGGGAGAAATCGACTGAAGAGAAGGAGGAAGTCGCTAGATGCTAAAATATGTGTTTGTTTGTTGATGTTTGTGGGGTGGAGCAACACCAAATGCTAATGCTAACGCTATCCTGGTAACGATGAAGATAACATAAAAACTGCACTTCTTAAGATTTTCAGTTGGATTTAATCCTACTTATATTGAGTTAACACAAATTCCACATACAGTATGGGGGAAAACAGGGACATTACTTATCCATTAAATTGTAATATGTTAACAGATACAAGATTATTTTAGAGTGCATTTCATTCAGAAACATCTTCCATATTTCTCTAAACATTAATTTTCCACTTTAAGTTGATCCATGACTTCCCTTCACTAATGTGGCTGTGCTTCTGAGGGTTTTCACAGGTATGTTTGCTATGTTTGAACAACACTTGGAGATGAAGGTGCAGCACTCACCAGTTTGAAAGTGACATTTTTATTGGCTTGAGGTTCGTCAACTATTTTCTGCAAATTGGCAGCAACTGGAAAGAAGACAAACAGAAATATGAGACAATGTGAGGTTGGGAAAATGTTGCTGTGGTGTATTTAATAAAAATCACTGACCTATTACTAAGTCCCTCCCGTCCACCAGGCCTGCGGACACCAGCTCCTGGGAAACACCGTCTGCTGTGTCTGAGAGGATGAGAAACAGGATATAATATATATGTGGTTTAAACACTTCCTCTGGTTCCTGATTGTTAAAATAGCTTTCTTCTCTTAAGGTTTTAGGTCAAATACAAATCAATCCTTTAGACAAACAGCTGTGTGTCAGCGTTTTGTTCTCAGGGCTGATAAATATTGATTTTCAAGGCCTTCGTACACTTTTTTTTTTTTAATTCAGCTCACTGATTATTATCCAAAATGAGGCGCCCGCAGCCAAGAAGTGAGACCCTAAAGACATTCTTTAACTACTCTATGACACAGGTTGGGATTTCATATCATGAAGACAGAAACTCCACTCACCTCTGCCTGGCATGAACTCAAAGCGAATGTCATTTAGCTCCTTCTTTGAATTCCTGAGGAGATGAAAGAGATGACAGATTAGAGGAGCTAAGCAGATCATCTATTGGTTGATCAAACCTGTTAGAGACATATTTACAGAAAAGGATTAGGGCCTCATCAAGTACTTTAGTTCTGAGAAGAAAAATCTGAATTCTGAGTAAAGTCAGAATTCCCAGAAAAAAAAGTCAGAATTCCTGAAAATCAAAAATCTGAATTCCCAGAACAAAAAGGTCACAATTCCCCAAAAAGGTTGGCCCCTATCCTCTTATTGTATGCACCAATAGGAAAACTCACCTTAACCGTAACACCAAACTAATGGGAGAGTTGACCCCTCCTGAGCCGGCTGGCACCTGTCAACACACACAGATACAGGCTTTAGAGCAGAATGAAACATAATAAACCCTCCCACAGGAGTGTCAGGGGGGGGGCTCACCTGTGAGAGAGAAGCAGTGGTGGGAGACGTAGCCTGGGTGGGGGGCTGCAGTGGAACAGCCTGAGGTAGATCTGCCTGACCTGGGGTCAGCGGGGGGGGCAGACTGCTTAAAGGCTCTGGAGTCTGGAAGGACGGCTGGAGAAATGCATTAAAGAGAAGATGGATATCAATAAGACGTTTTTTTACCTTAGAAAAGAAGAAACCCATCTGTCAATCACAAACTGGAACTATTTGTGATTGACAGATGGAGAAAGTGGACTGATTTCGTAAAACCTCATAGGCCAGATTTGACTGAAGTCCTGATCACTCACTAATGTTCGTACTTGTTTTTCACTTTTAAAAACTCACCTCCGAGTCCTGCGAGCCCTCCTTCACTCTGGGAGACTGTTAGAGACAGAGAGAAGAATACAACACTCAGAGAGGATATCAGTGTGACGCTGGAGAGCAAAGCAACATCACACACACACACACACACGATGCAAAGAACACACAGGAAGCAGAGAGGTGGACGGATTAAAACGCATTTGCTGTCCTCATTTATCGGTCATCCGTTAAGGTGAATGCACTGATATCCAAACTGTGGGAACTCCAGATTCGCTTCACGACTTGGTGCTGATATGTTGTGTTAATGACAGAAGTTTGATATAGCTATGCATTGTCTAACAGGGCAGTGACCCCTTATATACAGTTGTGGTCAAAAGTTGTAAAGAACATGTATTTCATGACTGTCTTGACTTTTCAATAACTTCTACAACTCTTATTTATCTGTGATTAGAGCTCATACTACTTTGTCACAAAACAAAAATCATGAAGTTTGGTTCTTTTATGAATTTATAATGGGTATAAAAATCAGCTGGGTCAAAAATATACATACAGCAATGATAACAGTTGGTAACATCAGTGGCGGCGCTAGGGGGTGGCTACTTGGGCTCAAGCCCCGGATCTCCTACAATCCTAAATCCGCCACTGGGTAACATGTCCCTTCTTTACAAGTGTATGTAAACTTTTGATCACAAATGTATCTGTATCTCCATATTTACATCAATAATAAGCCAAAAAACACTGATTCCTATCTAATTACTTGATATATCATGAAGCTAATGCTAATCTGAGCTGTAAACGAGTTAAATACATATTCTATAGCACTTCTGTTTTTAGTTTGAGTTTGAAAAGCAGAGAAGCAGCATAAGTGAACAAAATATCAAGATAGAGAGGGTCAAAAGGCGCTTTCACACCGGAGTACTTTTCCCGTTTAGTTCCGATAGTTCCTGGGATTTTGCGTTCACTCCAAATAGAGAACTTAGTTCATGAGAACCTTTTCACCCCTTTTTAGTCCCTGCTAGAGAGGTGGTACTTTCCTGGCGAGAAAAAAGTTAAAATTTCTGATTGGCTGGACGGATTGCAAACCACGCCCCGGAAATCTCGGAAAAGCTTTTTGAAGCCGCCATTGTATCATTGTATCAACCGCTGGAGAAGCTGCAGTACATATGCATGAGCCTGTACGTGGCGCGGTAACTTCCTCCACAAAAGCAGCGAAGAAGCATGGTTGTCATGGTTGCCCTTCTGTTTATTCTCCGCGGTGGGGGCCGAGGGAACCGGGCAGAGTTTTTCGCCAGTCAACGTGTGTTAAAGTTTAAATCTTCCGGACAAAATTATAAAAGTGCCGGTCAAAGGTCTTCTTTGTTATTTATTGAGCTTTAAAACAAATGGATAACGAATCTATATAATATAATAATATAATACATGGAGCCTCTCTTTTTCCTCCCTCTCTTCTGACAGCGTCAGTGTCTGTCTCATGCAGCAGCTGATCCAGTAATGAGTGACCCGGCCGACAGTAAAAATAAACATATTTATAACTAGTTTAGGTAGTTTGAGAGGTAATTAAAATAGCTAAGGGTGGTGATCTGACTTGAAGTGTGTGTTTTTC